AAGGTGCAATTTTTCCCACAGGAAACTATAAAGATGTCTCCAGAGCTGGAAGAAGCGGTCATAGTTCCAGACTAGGACCACTCAAACTAAAACACAACTTCATTTTTCCCTTTCCTCAGACAAAAGGAGGTGGGGAGGGAGGAAGCCAACCTGCACCCCAAAGGTGAGCGAGGGCCTCTGCAGGTCTCCTCTCCTTCCTTAGGGAGCCCTCCTTTCCTCGGCACAGCGGAGCACGCTCCCCCCCTGCAGCCCTGGGAGGGAGGCAAAGGGCTGGGTGGCAGCTCTGGAAAAACGATAAGGAGCAGCCAGCGGCCTGAAACAGATACATCTTTTGCTTTTCAAATGCCACTTTTAGACAGACGATAAGGAGTAGTTAGCACTCCTAGTGCTTTGCATTTCCAAAGTGCTTCAAAACATACTTCAGATTTAAAAGCAAAAAAAAAAAAAAAAAAAACTGCTAAACATTTTAACATACTTCTTCTGGCCAGTTAAAAACTACTCACATGTTCAGTAGTATCATCATATTCCCACTGTTTGAGAGTAAACAATGTTGGAAGGAAAAATAAAAGAAATGAAGAGATTTGTAACCTGGTTAAAGTAATGTTTTCTTCTTAAGAGTAAAATAAACATGAAAGATGTCTGGAAAAATCATGTACAATTTGAATGAATCTTGTAGAATGATATAGAATTTGGTTATAAAATCAGGCCAGACACTTTTAATTTGATTTCTGCTCTCCCTAAAAAGCAGCCACTTGAGAGACGAAAGAAGTAACGAATCCTTTTGTACAATGTAGTAATATTTTGTAATGGATTATACTAGCAAAATCTACCAAGGCAGAATTAAAGGCCACCTGGTTTAGTTAATCATGTTACTAGGCTATGTGCTCAAGTATCCTAAATGAATTCAATGCCTTGTTTAAATTAATAGCAAGAAAGCAAAAAAAAAAAAAAAAAAAGCTGCTTAACATTTTGACAGACTTGCAAAAAGCTTCTTCGTGCTGACACTACATTTTCTGGTTAAAAAATACTACTAATAAAAAAGGCTTGCCATCTCCTCCTCCTCCAAAATCCCCTTCCCAGTCAAAACTCTGCTACCCCAGTAACGAGATAAGCTGTGATAAGAGGTTCTGCACAGTCTTATGAGCTATCCCTTTCAACATCCGACTGGCGCTCTCAGACGTCATCCACACTGTGCTTCAGACAAGAACCCCCAGCATCTTTGCAGAGCAGCCCACAGCAGATGGAAACGATCTCGGCAGCAAAGCTGCTACCCCATCCCAACTTGGTAGCGATCCATCTCCCCCCATCGACCATTACGTGATCCTACTGAGCTCTGCTCCTCTGCACAACTCCCAATTAACTTGGGATCATCTCCCACCTGCTCCCTGCTAAGCCACTGTACTTTAAGAATTTAAGGGTGCAAGGGAAAGAGAGCTGGAAGAGAAAAAGGGGTCATCATTCCAGAAAGTGCTTGTTACAGAGAAGGATTTGAAGGGTGTGAATTCAATTTTAAGTGATTGCTTCTCTCTCCTTCCAGTTGTGCCGGGGCTGTTTTTTCGGCCTTCCTATCTTGACCAGCTACTTGGGTGGAATCCAGGTGGTTCGACACCCGGAAGGTTCATGCTTTCTCTGCGAGGACAGCAAGCTCAGCAGGCAGAGGACAACATGGTATCCTGATCATAAGCTGCTGTCTCAAAACAGATTTACCACACCCTTGGAGAAAACTTTTATGCAAGCACGGCAAAAGCTTATTCCCTTTATCTGTACGTGCCAATGCTATGCATTCCCATGTAGAAGCTACCCTATGCAAACTGTTAACATACACATCTCCCTTGCTTCCTAAATGGTAAAAGACAGGTACCTAAATGCAGTACTGACCATCTCCTCTCCACAGGGCCCACTCAGAACTCAGAGGGACATCATCCACTAATGCAAGGGATCAGTTTCACTACAAGGTCTTTGCTCTTCTAACATGGTTTTTCTCTCAACTGCCCACCAGCTCACCCAGAGCTGGCCCTCAGCCGCCCAGCAAGAGCAACTCTGAGGTAATTCCTTTCTTCCCTCCCTCTCTTCCCAAACAGGCAGCTGCCACTACTATTTTCCTAGAAAGGCCCACTGCCCTCTTCTTCCTAGGCTACAGATAAGCAAGGGAGGAACAGAAGACAGGTAGATACCAATTAGCTTTGAAAAAGGAGGTTTTTGCACTTTCCCTACTTCAGAAAGCACAAACTTAAAGCTTTAGAGGAGAGGAAGGGGTGGAGAAATGGTGGTATATTTAGCTTTGCTCAAATACATGGATGTGGCTGACAGCCCTCGCTGCTGTCTTCCGCACCCAGGCCTCTGTTGTGGCTACCACCAAGGGTCTTGCATGAGCTACCCTGCCTATTTTTTGACCTGTGCAAGGCCTCTCTTCTCTATTCCAGTGAAACCATCAAACAACACTAGCTGGCGTACAGCAGGAAACAGTACTGGGGCCAAGGGCCCCCTGTGAGGTGAACAAACAATTTTATACATTCAGTCACAAAACACCAGAAGAACAATTCTGGACAGTTTCACAACACTAACAACAAAAAAAGAGCCATTCATTTTTCAATAGGCTTCTTTCTGTCTGAGGCTCCAACATAAGCAAGGGTCAATTCACTAACAAATTTGGGCTTATTTTGGCAAATGGAACTGCTTTTGGGTGTTCTCACCATAATATCCTGGCATTGCTTGAAAAAACAAAAAAAACAAAACCTAAACCCCCACCTTGATCTGACTTCACAAGCAGAGGGGTCCCCAAGCAAATGCAAGACAATAAGGAGCATGCAGGAGCTACCAGGCTACTAATGCCACTATGTATATGTTAAAACTTGCTGTTCCAAGGCTTCACTTATAAATCAGAGCAATAACATCTAGTTTATAACTACCCAGAAACAGAGGCAGTCCTTTCCTTTTTTTTTTTTAAGCCAGTGTTAACAATAAAGTTTTTCCAATCTCATGAAGCCCCTCAGTTCTGTCACATATACAGCAAGTTCACTGTGAGAAGTTCCATGGACTAAAAACTAAAAACTTCTGTCCCCTAAATGTGGCTGGTAAATTCTCACATGGAAAGAGTTCCAAGAATGACTGTTAGATCTGTTCTTCTTCAAAAAGTTTGTTTCTTGCATACAGTTCAATAATTTCCACTGGCTGAAGTTTATTTTTCTTGTTTACAGCCATGGAGCCAAAGGAGGTATGAGAGAGTTAGCCCATTTCTATTCTCGGCTTATGCTTCAAATAGAATTATTAAACTCAGCTTCAGCTGGATGCTATTCTGGCTCTTCTAATCAAACAGAATGCTTAACAAAGCTCCAAGCACAGCATCTGATTTTCATGATATGTTAGCCCAGGAGGTCCCAATTCAATTTTCAGGTTTTGGATTGAACTGGCAGATGGACAGTATGGGCGAGAAGAGGCAAGTAAACCCAGACAAGCTCTTCTGCCATCACAAGTAAAACCCCCATACATCTCTACACCTGCAGAAGTGGAATAAAGCTAATTTTAAAGTCCCTGAAGGCCAGCTCGACCAAGGAAGTTTATAACGATATGTCACCAAACAATATGGAACAGAGCCACATTTTAAAAAGACCAAGAGAAAAATCTTCACAAAAAGATCTTAAGATAAGCAAGAATACATGAATGTCAAAAAAAAAAAAGTCCACCCTAACAAAGTAACTGCTTAGTTTCCTACCACAAACTCCTCCTCACACACAGATACCAAACCCATGCATATACAACTTGTTGCATCTTAACCTGATAAGGGTTAACTCTTCATTGGACTGTATACAAAGCAGCATTGTTGGCAGGTACTCTGTTCAACACTTTGTGTATCGAGATGACTAGTCACCAGCAGACACAAGGTAGCCTGAACCAAAAAATTAAGATACAAAGCTGCGGGTAGATCCTCTCTGAAAGACCACCACAGGTCTTTGAAAACTCCACTGCAAGAGGAAGAAAAGATGTTTAAAGAGAAATGCCAAAACAAAACATTGAGAAGTCTCAGCTGGTGAGTGGACAGAAAAGCAGAGGATGGGAATACAGTTTATTAGGACAGGCTCTTTCCTGCCACAGGACTGGTATTGCTTCCAATGTCAGCCAAAGCCAGGAACCTTAGTAAATAGGAAGCTTTTTTATGTATTTGTACACTGAGATGAAGATAGGACAAAGGTGGCAGTAGCTACATTTAGAATAAAGTAGTGAGATCCTATAATGCCATGAAGATTTAGCAGAATGAGCTGGAATTCAAGATTTTTTTCAAAAATAAGCCAAAATATTATGCTTCTGCAACCGTAACTACCTGACCTGCTACAACCCTCAAGAATGGACTCAGCCATGTGCTGTGTCCACTGGTGACAACAAAAAGAGAGATGCAGGTATTCAGCACATTTGGCAGGTGTCAGGAAGAGGGAGTGTGTGGGGGTGACGATGACAACCCTGTCTGACCCCACATCCTGCAAAAGAGGGCGATCCTGTTTATACGATGCAACTCCAGATTCAGAAGCCTCGCTCTGGACACCCACGTTCAAAAAACATCCTGAGCCTGTACGCTTACCTCATCAATTTGCCCTTGCTAGCTATTGCAAGCTTCTTTCCCACTCACTCTTCCTCCCACCACATAATTTCCCCACCCCCCCACTAGTTTCCACTTCTCACCCTCTCAGATGTCTCCATAATAAAACGCCCATGTCACTTCTTTGAGAGACAAAAGGTTTAGTCCAGAAATTCAAGATCTTACCAGTTGTCCTGAAACTGCTGTGACAGAGTGGAAGACAGGCCTGCTCAAACAGCTCTGAGGTGGAAGGGGAAATCCTAAGTCTACATGGAGCTGCCGTATCCTATTTGAGGTAAACCCTACTTTTAATAAAAACCATAGGGTCAGCCCAAGCACTTCATAAGAAGTAGATGTTTGGAGGACCAGAAGCCCCAGAGCTCCCAAATTCTGCAGGCCAGCAGCCAAGCCCTTCAAAGGAACGCATTGAGGATTTCCATGGGTGCCTTTACCTCAGAGCTCAGAAGGCTTGTAGCTTCATTTAGAATAAGTAGAGCAGGTAAGAGATGCTTCAGGTGGGGGGGAGAGGAAACAATGGCTTTAAGGACAGTAATCATGACAGTAGCCAATGTTACCCTGCAGCACTCTGTCCTGCAGTTCCCATCTTAGACTTTAGATTACTTTTCTTGCTTTCCATAGGAAAAGGTCTATATTTAAAATTTTATGTTATTTAAATAAAATTTCCTTTTAAAAAATGGAAGAGAACATGCATGTGCAAGAACAGATGCTATGCTAAACTATTAACTCAAAATACAGCAATTCTTTAAAAACCTCAAAGTGTCACAGGCAGTCCAGCACAAGGCATTTTTAAGTGCAAGATCAGGCAGGGTCTATTGAAATGCAGACCACTTTCCTTGGCAAAGATTTTTAAGCCTTCCAAGGGGAAGTTCCCACCAGTAAAGTAGTACAGGATCACAGATACTGTGAGGAGACTGGCGTCACGGAAGAATATTACTCAGGCAGTACACTCCAAGAATTCTCATTGCTAAGAATTAAGAATTTTTTTTTCCCCTCCTCAAATCTAATACATGCCTTCCCCACATGTTGTTTACCTTGGATCTCTCGATGGGATCCAAGAGCAGGATTTGCTGCTAATCAAGGTCCATTCCTAGCTCAGTTCTGTCCAACTCCTGTGTCCTGGGCCTGTGCCAGTATCTTGGATATCTTTGCAGTGCCAGGCAATGCTTCGGTTGTCCTATTAGCCCCTCCTCCCAGGGGAGAGGAGTCAGTTTTCAACCAACTTATTACCACAGATTCAGGGAAGCATTTGTTATTAATACTGAATTTGGCAAAGGGTAAGAACACCCCACTTTCCATAGCACATTCCTCACACAGCCGAGCCGAGCCTGGAAATCCTGTTTAGCATATACAGAATGGTATGTCTCAACCGCGCTGGGTTTCTGAGCTTTTAATGAGGGCAAATTGAATTTACGTCACCAATGTAGATTTCAGAGATGCATTTCAGTCTTTCTGCATGATCAACAATCAAAGGCAGAAACCTCTGCTGTCTATACGGACCCCGTGCTGCAAAGACTGACTTACCACAGACAGGCAAATACGGTTCTGAAGTACTGACAGCAGGCCGCAGGGAAACAGCACTGGAGAGAAAGTCTTAACTGGCTGGAGTTATCTACACAGGTAGGATCCGTCGCCTCTCACTGCTGCAGGAAGAGAGGGAGGAGGAAGGTGGGAAGAGCAATGCACAGAGAAGTATCTTTATCCAAGGGATATCAATTGCAGAACAAGGCAGCAGGCTAGAGACACAGCTCTCTTTCCACCTCCACATGCCCTCTCCCCACAAATGCAGCTGCCGCCACTTAACAGGATAAAAGGGGAATTGTTCAGCTTGCTGCTTTCACATCTAGGGAGGGGAGTCTTTGCCAGGGAAAGGGCTGTCAGTTTTTCAGATGGACAAAGCAATGACAAACACACACCCCCTACACTGCCCTTTTTTGCGTATCTGAAAGGGGAAAACAGAGAAGAGAAGGAAAAAAAAAAAGGTGTCTGTAAACATTTTAAGAGGAGACATTTTGGATTATTTTTTTTCTTAAGGGATAAAATAACCCTTCCCTAGCCCCACCCTAAAAGCACTAGTTTTAGGGAGCACTGAAAACGGAGATTCAGAACTGCGCACTCCGGTCTCGGAAGAAGCCCTCAGCCACTTGTGCTTCTCTGAAAGTGACGGTAATGGAGTTTGCCGTGATGTCCGTCACTGTCACTTCACTGGGGGGCACAGTGGGAATCCAAGGGAGACTGCCATCCACATCTGCTGCAGAAGGAGAGGCAGATAAAAGCATGTTAGTGAGAGAGAGAGAAGGCGAGGGAGAAGGAAGGAGGAAGAAGAGAGGGAAGGGAAGTATGGAAAAGGGGCCTCCTTTCTGACAAACAGTGGGTGAAATCAGCCTGTACTGAGTCTGCACATACAAGGCAAGAAAAAGCATGGGCAAGCCCTCCCCTCAGAGGCTAAGGGAAAATGGAGGATCACTGCAGGATATAATGGGAAGAGGAAAGAATAGGAAAGGTGTCCAGACACACACTGACACTGGAGCAAGCTACGCAGACTTCAAAGGACCCTTTAACGACACCCAGCTCATCTAACTATCCACATTTCCCTGATACCTCTCACCCCCTAATTTGGTTCTGTGTCAGCAAAGCACACTCTCCCAGGTGTAAGCTCACCTGCTTGCAAATGCCCTACCCTGCTGAGAAGTCAAAAATCACACACTCTTTAACATGCTTGTGAGATACTCCTATGGGAGTCAAAGGGATCCAAAACAAAGAGTCTTCTTTGTACTGCACCTGCAATGCAGCCTGGGTATGATTCTCTCAAAAATCCATCAATACTGCTCCATGGAGAGGCTGTTCTCCCTTTCTTATATCCTTCCTTTGCTCCCTGATAGCTCCATACAAAAAAAAAAAAAACAAAACGAAAACAACAAAGCCAAGCATCCCTGCACTTTCTCACTGTAAGAAAAACGATCAGTCCCTCTGCCACCCAAAGCCTCCCTTCTCCCCAACCCCCAGTGACAGCCAAAAATATACACAGAGAGAGGAAGGAAAACATACCTTCTTCCTGTCACCTATACCTGTACTTGTTGTCTTAACCTGGGCAAGGAATAGACCCTTAAGAGTATATTTCCTGGCCTCTGTCTCAAATGCCTGGGGTGCCTACTTTTACCTCAGAAAGAGTCTAATCCCCTCTAACAATAACTGGAATTCCATACAGGCCATGTGTCAAGGGGAGAACAAAAGCAGTTTCAAGTTTCTGTAGTGCCATTTTCTCTTCTCATCCCCAAGTGCTATAGAGCCAAATGCTTTAGAGCCTAATGCTTCTGGGGATGGAGCGGGGGGAACAGCCCCACACATTTGCCCACTGCCAGGATGCAACACTGAGTTCCTCTCTACTACCTCCACTGCTGCCTCCCTGGATTTGGGCTGCTATTCCAGTCCCTCTCAAAAAGGGGGGAATAGAGTTGACTCCCAGAACATAACCCTCTCCCCCAAATCCTGCCTAATCCAGCCTAGCCAGCAGTTACTCCTAGTAAGGAGTAACAGGATTCCCTTAGCTACTACAAGCAGCACAAGCCCTGGTTTTCCACTCCTCAGGAAAGCTACGCCTTCAGAAGCTCTAATAATGCAGGGATAGAGTTTCCCTGGTAACTCAGAGCGACACGCACATCCCACAGCTCTCCTGCACAAGATGCTGGTATCCCTCCCTGAAATGCCAAATGTGTCTGGACATCTCTTGTACTGCCTACTCAGAGGAATCAGGCAGGAGTTACCATCCTCACTTCATCTCTCTCATGCCCCTCTCACATAGCTCTGTAGCAAGAGACTTTAGAGGACGTGGGGTGTGGAGAGGAAAGGGAAGGAGGGGGCAGAGGAATGCACTATGGGTTCCTACTGGCATTCTTGCATGCTCCTCAGAGCAGCACTATTAGGAATGCTGGTGTCCAAGCTTGTTCACTGCCAGCCAAGCTCCTTTTGGCAGAGCAGCAGGCTGAACACGTGTGGATACATGGACAGAGGCAGAGTTCACCACTATCACACCTCCATGTCACCTCTGCTGGGAGGAAACTGTAAGAGCAGAGTAACTTGCCGTATCTTCCACGTGTTTTCTAATACTGGAAGGGGCACCACTGATACAAGACTACAGAGAGGCAACAGCACCAAAAGAACCAGATTAATCTCTGCTATTCATCCAAACAAGAAAGGAACTTGCAGACAAGAGGGCCACAATGTAATCCAGTGAGAGCTGCTCTGAGGACCTGACCTAAACCCCAATCCTAGGATGAGGCAAGCAAGGAGAAAGCATGCAGCGCATCCTTCGCATGCTCCAGAACTTCACAGCCAAGGGGTGTCTGACCTTACCTTCTTTGCTGGTGTGCTGCATGGCCTCCCAGTCCTCAGCGTCCTGCCTGGCCTCCAGACCCACCGCATCATTCAGGAAGAACTCATGCCTGCAGTTTCGGCTTTCCAGGCTCGCCATGCGAGGGAACTTCTTCCTTGATAGTCGCAAGTACTTCTGGTTTTTGCGTTGCTTCCGGAGAGAGAATGGCAGGACTGCTCCCCCAGTCTTCTCTGAGAACTCTGCCTGACCTGGCTTGGCCCCCGGCAGGCTACTGTCTCCTCCTCCAAACCTCCGTGCAAGAGAAAAACAGAGCTTCTCCTTTCCCTTGTGGGCACTCCTCAAGTCCATGCCATACAGACGCTGCCAAGACATCAATGTAGCGAGGGTCAGAGCAGAAATCTGATAATACAATCAAGGCTCCCACCTAGAATCCAGGAAGCTGTTCTGTATTCAGTCCCTGAACATCTAGATGAGCTAGGGTAAGTTGTGCTGCTTCTACAACACTGCTTCTCCCATCTCTTCAACTGCCATCTAAGCTCTTCCTAATAGGCACTTCCTAGGGTTGGTTGCTTTGCTTGGCAACAGTCAAAGTATGCTGGAATTCTGCTTCCAGCCAGCGGCCACCTTTAACATGATGGAAAGTCCGAGCCCAACATGAAATTAAAAAAGCATGCAAACCAGGTAACCTGCAATCACCCAAGCCCAACGTTTATAAAATCCTAATTCAGAGAGCAAGAGCTGTTGTTGGTTTGGTTTTTTTTGTTTGTTTGTTTTTTAAAGACAGGTTATACAACCTTTCAGCTCACAGGTTAAAGCTATCTGCCTACCCACTGATTTCATGTTGTTGTGTTAGCTTGTTACCTCCAATTTTGTCCATGCAGCAGCAAACGGACAGTTTCCACCTCCCTGTGAGCAAAGGAGCAGCACAGCATCTAATGAGTTAGAAATACACAGAAGAGCAAAAGGCTACCTGCAGCAGGAGGCGCTTTGGTTTGGGGCCTCTTTTCCTGTACCCCGATGCACGGTCTCTCTCTTCCCTGTGAACGAGGAACACAAATCAAACTGAGTACTAAACACCACAGCATAAAAACCTAGTTGGGACTTGTACCTTTCACAGCACAGTTCCCTCATTTTCTTCATTAAAACCCAACGGTGACCAGCATGGGCTTGGAAAACATCCCAGAATTGCTTCTTGTAGGAGTAAAAGCCTTGCAATAAGGGAATATGGGAATTTCTTGGACTCAGCTGATCAAAGCTGGGTTAGAGAAACGTACCACTTCATATCACTCCAGTCCAGCCCTGGACCTGATTAAAACCTGAGACTGATTGCTCTTTGGCTCAATGCTGCTTGTTCTTGGCCTCATTTCCTGAACAGTGCCAATCAAAGCTGCTTTAACCCTGTTTTATCTGCCTCAGCCAACACCAAGGTACAGAGATCAAGCAGGATTCACTGCTACACATCTCATCTTTGACTGAAGTAGGGACAACAGGGCCACTTCATGCATACTATGAAACAAATACACTATTTCCTTTTCCTGTGTCCAAGGAGAGAAAGAACATGCACCCTTACTTTTCTTCATAAGCCACTACTAGGCGAGGGTCCAAGATGTGATCCTCTGGCTCCCACGTGCTGTATCTGAAGAAAAACATACGGAATATAAAGTAAACAATACTTTAATGAAACAGTCTCTCTGCAGGCCTGCTACCAGTATGCTGAGGCCCTGGATACTGTCTTCACAAGGGTCGGTGGGGCCTGCCACAACATTGTGAGAGCTCTGAGGAATCCCAGCCATTCCCCCCCCAGCTTCCTGCAGACACCACGTCCCCTTCCCAAAACAGGCAGGGCCAAGCATCAAGTGGCTCTTTGCAGGAAAACAGGGAAGGCTTTCCTCCCCAGGGCCCCCTCCATGCTGTTTGCAGAGCCTGTGCAGACACTTACAAATCGATTTTAAGTCAATGCCTAAACAGGTCTCATCTGCAGCACTCTCTCAAATCCAACAAACCTCATGGAACAATGAGATGTGATCTGATACAGCTTTCTGAAAAATAGGTCTCTCTTAATTTAGAGTGCTCAAAGAGTAAGTACGCTTTCTCACCTGCATTGTTAATTACCTCTAATCACTGAAGCTGAATGTATTCATTTAAGAAGAGTTTAATTTTTCTCCACTGATGCCATTCAACTAAACATGTTTAGACCTGGGCCCTGAGGCAAGTTGATGGCAACTTTCCAACTATTTCTCCTCTTGCTCGACTCCCCCTGCAGGTTATTTCCATCTAGCAGAAGTCATCAGTATTTCTGTACCAATGCAGGAGGAACCCATCCACATTGTGGTTGGGGCTACTGAAATAACTGAAAATAAGCCTGATGCTCTGAAAGTAACCTATGAACAGTGTCGCTCATTGTCCCACCTCCCTCCTCTGTTGCCAGACAACTATGACAGGAGTCAGATGCTCAGGAACTTCAGATACTTGCTGAACCCACCCAGTAAGCAATGCCAAAACCAGTTCTCAAAGGGCACAGCTGCACTAAATACAAAGGAGAAACAGCCAAAAACTCCAATTGGGGCAGGTGAAAGATTCGCGAGGTGGTCCTCATGGCATGTTTGTTTCTAAAGGGTCATGTTTGCCCAGAAAATGTGGGTGGCATGTTTCTACCATACAAACTCAAATGCAGGAAAGCAAGTCTAAAAACCCTAATGCCTCAGAACATTAATTTTCGTGGAATGCGAGGTCTGGGGCCTGGAGGCAGTGCCCCTCCCAGCCCCTGGGGAGAAGGACCAGAGTAGCCACATGCAGGTGGGCAATGGTGCATTTGTTATTATTGTTATTAATGTCTTTAAACAGCAGGAAAGCATTTTAGGCTGTTTACATTTCTAGATGAAGCACAGGCTGCACGTGAGGGCACATGATACATGCATATATGTACACAGGGGTGGTAGTTTGGGAATGCTTTTCTCTTTCATCTCCATTACACAAACGAAAGGTACTGAAATACGTGAGCATTCCCATAGAATGGTTCTAAAAGTGAAAGTAAAATTCTTTTACAAAAGGGAGAAACAAAAATACAAAATTCAGATATTCCGAGGTGCACTGTACATCAGAGAGTTAAGAACAGACATGTCTTTGTAACCAGCTGATCCCTCCCTCCTTTGCTCAAGCCTCCTGCAGCAACCTGACTGTGAGCCGTCAAAGCCAAGATGCTGCCTGAACAGAGGAAGGTTTCCTCCCAGCTGCAGGAATTCTGGCACTCGTTCTACAAATTTAAGAAAAATAATAGCTCAGGGAAAGTAAAAGAGACATCTGATTGCTTTTCATGGGCAGAAGAAATAAGATTTGCTTTTAAAAAAAAAAACACTGGTGGGCGTTGCCTTTTTCTCTGCAGCTCAGTTTCTGGCTTCGCTGCAGTGGCAAAACACTGCATATATAAAAAAAAAAAACATGGTTCAGTTTGCCACGCGCGCGCGCACACACAGAGAAAGCTATATATATGGGTACACACAGCCCAGGCTGCAGCAGAACTGCAGAGAGCAGGCACTCTGGAAAACATAGATCATATGATCTTCCTTCCCCCTCCTTCTACTCCTCCTCTTCCCCCTCCCCTCTTAACTCCAACACAAGTTGTAAACAAGCTTGTAGCTAGAATCAGATTGTAACTCCTCCATACCCTGATTCAATCCAGAAATCTGAGGTACAGGGCATTAACAAGATTTTTTTTAAATAAAAAGAGAAAAAAAAAGAAAAAGGTGAAATATCAATTACATGGAAAAGCAGCAAACTACTGATCTATCCTTATTCCCTTCCATGAAGTCTCTGATGGCAATGATGGGATAACTGGTACAGAGATTACAAAGACCAATGTGACAAGGTTGAGGAAGGGGATGAAGAGAAATACAACATGGGATGAGGATATGGAATATGTTGGAAGCAAATAGCTTGTAGTGCTGCATGCCATCACAGGCACATGTATGTTTAGAAACAAGGAACAGAGACTGCTACCAGGATGAAAGAGCCTTCAATGCTCAAAGCATCTTGGTTTTAAGAAACACAAACAACAGAGTGAACGTTAAAATGGAAGGGAAAAAAAATTAAATCTGTGCCCTTCAGATTTGGAGTTTGAGGGAAGAGCGAAGGTGTTTGAACATGTCACAACATCAAAAGAAGGGAACCCTGACATCCCCTTACTCCCTGCAGCAGGCTGTGCTCCCTCAGAGTTTCCAAGGCACAGGGCAAGGAAAGGCAACAGTAAGAATAAGGGCTGCTCTGTGCAAGGAAACATTACACCATGCCTCAGCCCACCTTCTTGGCAAGTGACTTTGCAAGAGAAGGACCTCAAAGAGTTTGTTGAATGGAGAATGGGCTAAACATCAGTATTCTGACCAAAACGGGATGGTGCCTCACAGACTACAAATACATTTCCTAACCTCCACCAGTGATTAAATTAGGCTTGGCTACCTTGGAGGCTACAGCAGTCCAAGAACTGACCCACAATACATGGCAACTGGTACTTAACAAGATTACAAGGCAACACTTTGACAGCAGAACTTATAGTCAAGAACAAAGTCACCCTCTGCCACCACCACCAGAGAGGGGAAGCCACTTATATTCACGCATGTCACATAAACACGAGGATTACACACAAGGATTAGGCATGCAGGAACTTATTTCAATTTCTTGGACACCAGGGACAATCTGTTGGAACCATCCTAGCAGGCCCCGCTTTCCAACTGCAGGGATGAAACCAGTAAAAGCAGCCCGCCTTTGCTTAGCAACATACAGTGCAGCTGCACGTGTAACGTAGTCATACCCACGCACATTGTGTGTACACACACACACAGAGTTACAAACAGGAAAGGAAAGACAGGTCCCCATATGGGTCAGCCAGCTAGCTAGGCTGCTAGCTAACATACTAACATTCTCCAGTTACCTAATCCTTTTAATCTCAAAGCATTTTACTGTCTCTTTAGGCACAGAGCAATCACTCCTCTTCAAAGGCAGCTGCATTTTAATAAGAGAAGTATCTGTAAGCAATGCACAGCAATACCGCCAAAAAAAAACCATGGTTTTTTTTTTTTCCCCCTTTTTGCAACATAGCAACCAAAGCAAAAGCAGAAAAGGCACTCAAAATAACAGAAGGTTTCAGACAAGGAAACAAAGGCATGGTGATAATTTTCAAGGGACAAAGATCACCTGCGTTTGGCTACAATCAATAAATCTGAAACATTGCCCCTTTCTGTTTGTGAATTGCAGAGGGGAAGTATTAGGGCAACAAGACAAGACTATCAACTTGTTTTCTATTTTAAAAGACTGCATATAGCCCTAAAAAATAACATGGAGCCCTCTTGGTGCAGAGTCAGAAAAGCAGAAGCTGTTACCAAGTTCAGAAGAATCGGCATTCCCTGTTGAACTCATAATGAAATTAAGAACATTAAGAACATCTAGAAAGCATCTCAATGGAATATTTCAGTGGTGGCAAAACCCAGTCAGAATAGATTGGCACACAGTTTGTATCCCTCAACTGCCAGTCCAGAAATAGATTTGGTTTTGGTTTGTGGCTCTTTGTTTTTGTTTATCGTTGTTTAAATGAGGCACAAAAGGTTACCCATTAAGAATTAGATGCTCAGTTGCAGAGATACAATGTAAGCTATTACTGAATATTAAAGAGTAAAATACAAGTAAAACAGAACTTACTTTGGGGGCCATCCTTTCCACTTCACCAGGTATTCTACTTTACCCTAAGGGCAGAAAAAGGAATAAGAAAACAGGTGAATTTTGCAAACAAATATGGGCTACAGTAAGAGATGCAACCAATCAACAGGACTAAATTCTGCAACCAAAAATCTCATTTCCCATCACTTTATTTTCAAAACAAAGCCACTTCCTTATTCAACCACACTTGCTATACTGTTTCCCCCAGAAAACCAGCAGGCAGGGGTATTTAAGAGTGCTTGAAATACCAACACTTTGGGATCATACCTTTGCAGAAGCCTAGCAGGCAGAACCCTAAAAGCCAATGGGAGAGCAAGACTGCAACCGCTCCTGCATTTACAGGCAATTCTGCAAGAAGTCAGCACGCATAAACACGAGAGGGAGATGTATGCCAGGAGCAAGTGTCAGAATAATTTTTTTTTAAGCAGAGACAAGTAACACAGTATTTCAGAACCTACGAAGTGCCTCTTTGGCATGTTCCCTTCCAGTTGCTACACGCTTTACTCAAACACATCACAGCCCGTCACAGCCACTCAGTCTTTTGACCCAAGTAAAATAGCAGCTCACAGCTGAAGTTCAGTTATCCGCTATCTGCTCACTCTGCGTACAAGATTTAAGAGAGGGGAAAAAAAAGCAAAAACAAGTGTAGTGATTGGAAACCCTGTTCAAGGGCTCCATGAGGAATGCGCACAACTATTACAATCCTTAATAGCATACTGAGGGGGTTGTGAAGCACTTCCCAAAGCATAGCAGGGCTCTTTGGACGTGCAGGATGACCACCCCTCAAAATGCCGCTCTTGGAGGTGTGGGCACCTTCCCAGGACAGCACAGCAAAGCGCTCAGATACTCCAGCCAGGGCAACCGCTTTCATTTTCCTCACGGGGGGTGTGTGTGTGGGGGGGGGTGTCTCACCAGCTTCCCAATGTGTGAAGACGCTGCCCCGTAAGGAACTCCCTACTCGAGGAAGGCCTCTACACTACACGCTGCGTGTTTCGGGTTCCATCCTCCCTGCGGGGGGGGGGGGGGGGGGAGGGCGTTTTCACCCGCGGGGAACTCCGCGTTCGCTGTCACTGATTTTTTTGCAGAAACCGCACTCCCCCCCTCAACAACACACACACGCAGAGAACCCCA